ATAGCATAATATTTTGAACTGCATGGACTGGCTTCATTCAGTTAGAATAATTTAAGATTTATTAGCATGTGGCATGTGTCAAACTTTTTTTTTTTAATTTTATTTTTGTGGCACTGGGGATTGAATCTGAGCTACCACCGAGTTACATCTGGAGCACCCCTATCCTTTTCTGAGATAAGATCTTACCAAGTTGCCAAGGCTGGCCTTGAATTTGCAACCTCCTGCCTCAGCCTCCTGAGTCACTGAGATTACAAGTGTGAACCACCACCATTAGCTAAAATTTCCTTCCTTTTTAAGCCTCAATAATATTACACTATATGTATATATTACGTACAATTACACTTGGGTTGCTTGTACTTTTTTTTTTTTTAGTATTTATTTTTTAGTTGTAGGTGGACACAACATCTTTATTATTTATCTTTATGTGGTGCTGGGGAATGAACCCAAGGCCTTGTCTGTGCTAGGGGAGCGCTCTACCACTAAGCCACAACCCCAGCCCTGCTTGTACCTTTTAGGGACTGTGAATAACACTGCTGTGAACAAGGGCTTACAAATATCTGTATAAGTCCTTACCTTTCACTTCTTCTAGGTGAATATCTAGAAGCAGAATTCTAGACCAGATAATAATTCTTTTTGTTGTTGTTAAGTTTTTATTTTTTAGTTATAGATGGACACAATACCTTTATTTAGTTATATGAGATGCTGAGGATTGAACCCAGTGCCTTACATGTGCAAGGCAAGTGCTCTATCACTGAGCCACAACCCCAGCCCCAGAGATCATATAATAATTCTACATTTAATTTTTTGAGGTCCTAAAAAATCCCTACGTATCTCAACTAAACTGAGGGGACAGAAACTTTTAGTCCTGGACACAGTGACAGCAGGAAAAGGGAGTAAATATATTGATAATTATTATGACATATCAATATAAAGATTTTTGTCTAGAAATATACCATTACATTTTGCTAATTATTAGTGTGACTGAATATCTTTCATGGTTTTAAAATCTCAAATTTCTAAGTATGCAGAATAAAACTTGACAAAATTGGGGGGATGGGGATGTAGCTCAGTGGTAGAGCACTTGCCTTCCATGTGTGAGGCCCTAGGTTCAATTACCAGAACCACTGGATACATAAATAAAATTTAAAAAAAAGAATTTCAGAAGACAGAGGGTTAAGTAATATGGTCAAACTTTTCAGTAGGAATGATGCAAATAATCTTAACCTTTTCTAAATTCCTCTAAACATTTTCTCTATAT